ACCATTCTAAGAGCGGCATCCCATTCACTGAGAGTTGGGCATCTGAAAAAGCACGAGAAGGCTAGTGTGCTTCATTCAGACTGTTACTGAACACCTGATCACGTATTCCATAGAGGCAAGTAGAATTGAGAAAAGACCCCTGAGTAGAAAGGAGAATCTCTAGGAAAAAACTTAAGAAAAAAAAGGGTGGGAAATGGGGGGTATAAGTAACGGGAATTTAGAAATTTTAAGTTAAATAATCCTAAGGCTGAAAGTACAGTGTGCTAAATAATTGAACTTAATTTTTGGATGGTGGGGCCAATCGTAAAATTCACAGGTGCTATTAGATTATATGGCCTGGTCTCTCATTTTAGAAATTAGAAAACTGAGCCCAAAAGCATTTCCTGAAGTTCACATTGTTCATCATTTCAAACCCAAGACCTAAGAATCCAAACCTTCTGATTCTAAATCTAATGTTCTTTCTATTATTGTTGCATTGATTATTGGAAAGAGGATTGGCTTCAAAATCAGACAAATCTAGGTGGATTCAAATTCAGGTCCCCTTCTTAGTAGTCTCAGACTTCATTCTCTGAGAGCCTCATGTTTTCTCATCTGTAAAATGGGGATGAATCTAAACTTTACTCATATTTCTACATTTACTCTTTATAATACTAATGCTAAATGACTAGAAAAGAGGTTGGCACACAGTAGGGTTTCTATTAAAAGTTAGGTACTATTATTTTTCAATCATAGGTTGTTATATAAGGTATTTGTGCATCATCTATGTGTCAAGTACTTTGGTAGGTACTTTTAAAAGATATTACAGACAAAAATCTTTGCTCCCTCCAGGGTGCCTAGAATGAGCAGATTAATAAGCAGGACCTTGGTGGCATGAAAATGATGCTGAAAACACACAAAGAATTTAACTTGAACTCATAAGGTAGATTATACATCGAGATGATAAGATTATATAAATCAACATAGAGCATTATTCCAGAAAATGGGTTACTTGGGGCGGGGGGGGGTTGGTGCAAAAGAATTATGTGGGAAACAAGTTACACAGTTTTCTGTTTTGCAGGTCCTCTCTATACATGGTAAAATCCTAGCAGGGGAACTAGATATTTCTCAAACTTATTTGAACATGAAATCTTTTTGTCAAGGAGCATTTCAGGGGCTCACGGTTCAGTGGAATAAGCTTTAGGAAGCCTGCTTTAGACTGCCCTGATAGAGAGCATGGAGGCAGAAGAACAGCTGGAAGATCATGGGAAAATCACCTTAAAAGAGTAAGTCGAATGTCTCAAGTAAGTCCTCAACCAAAAGAGCATGAAGACTACTCAAAATTCAGGTCGCCTAATCATGAGACTTGTGCAGAGAAAAAGGCATGAGCGATAACATCTACTGAGCCACGTCTACACGACCATGCCACTGGATGTGCATCACATTAAACAGTCCTGGAATGGGGTGTCATCAGCAGCATGATTGTCAGTGTACAGATGCCAAAACCAAGAAAACTGAATCCCAGAATAGTTGATTCATTTCCTAACGTCACAGCACAAGGAGTTCAACCAAGTCCTGACTCAAAACCCAGAGGTTTTTCATATTCTCATCATGCATAAAATAACATCACACCTAATTCTCTGACTACAATAAGGCAAAAGATCAGCTGTATAGTCATTTCATACAACAGCTGTGATGACGATTTTCAAACCTTGCTCCTAAGCAATCTGAAAGAAATAATGCCATACTGTGCTGTGGGAAAATTAATTTTATCATATGCTTTAAAAGGGCAGAACTATGTTTCTACCCAGTAGTCACGAACTTCTACAATGGCTACCATAGGCAAAAATGTCTCAAATAAGTGAAAATCTGTAAAGATAAGATGTCAACTTTTCAAAAATGAAATCAGTAACATAGAATTATCCAAAATGGAAAAATGAACAAGACGATGCCGAGTATCATGAAGTGATCATAAATTCTGAAGGCAGAGTTTGCTAAACGAAGAGCATACTTGAACAAAATTAAAGAATTTTGTTGTGGTTATACTGTAAATGACATAAAATAGTAAAATCATGGACAGTATCTGACCTGCCATCACTCTCCTACTTGAGGTTTGAATAGAAAAGTCAGCCAAGTGCTTTGACTTTCTATAGAAGTTATATAAAGAAGAGGCTCTGGAAATTGACTCATTCGAAGCATCAAGAAATCTTTGCTTTTGGACAATAAGGGGAAGATGTAAGTTGCTGCGCATTTTGAATAGCCAGTCCCAGGACCAAGCCTTACCCTTTCTTTAGTGCAGCACTCCACAAATGTTGGCTGCAGAGTAGGCGTGAGATTAAAAACTCCAGACTCCTCCACATACAAGCCTTGGGACTCTGGGTTGAAAATGTCAATCTCCAATCAAATTATTTTAGGTGGTAAAAGGACCCCACTTTCAGGTTGGGGGAATTGAACAATTAAGTGACTCCCCTACAAATCTATAGTCAAAAACAGAAGAGAAAACTGAATTTAAGTTCTCTGTTTATTGAATCATATCATTTCTTTAAACTCCATGAAAACATTTCCCAAAATCTAAATATGATACCCATCGATTCTTGTATATGGTGACAGAATTAATCACTTTTTGGTGTACTTTAAGCACAAAATCTTCCTTATTCTAGACAGACATGTTGAAGACATCCTGAAACATGTCTGACTTGTCTACAACCTGTAAGTGGAGAAAGAAAATTTAACAGGCAATTGAAGGCTGCCGAAATGAGCATAGAAATAGCAGTTCTTCCACCTGTTATCTTCCACTAGTCCTATGACAATAGATGAGACTTTGTTACTTTGTGAGATAAAACAGGTAGGGATGATATTGAGTGCCCATAAGTACAGTCAGGCTAGGTTATTGTCTGTTTTATGAGCTGCACCTGTTCTGACTGGTTGGTGTTGCTGCCAATAGAATTATTATATTTTTTCCCATGTTCCAGAGAACAGAGGTTAATCAAAGCATAAAGGAGCCAGGCAAGTGAAATGGCTCAGAGTAGGGACAAGGGCAAACTAGAGAACAAGTGTCCCAGTTGAAGCAGATACCTGCTACTCAACCCCTGCAGGTTGGAGTCATACAGGAAAATAAGCCCACTGTTGCCAGATTTGCCATTTTTTTAAAAAGAAGCAGCTAGAAATCCTTCCATATTTTAAAATATTTATTCCTAATTCTATCTTTAAAACACTGTTTGCCAACAAAACAATTCTCCAGAATAAGAGTTGACAATTTTCTACTGAGGGCTGTCTGTGACTGCTGAAATAGTTCTAAACCGCAGTTAAGTGTATGGATTAGGTACACTGCCCTGCCCTGACGGCAGTAGTGTGCCATGGCCATTAGGGTTTCAGCAATTAGATATAAATCATGAGTACGGGGCAAAAAAATTTTTAAGTTTACTAATAGTATTAAAAGAGCAGACACTTCTTTCGGAGATACTTAAAGAACACTAAAGACATAATTAGGAACATTTTTTTTAACCGACCCTTGGTCTAATCTTTATTTTAAATAGAGAACATGATCTCAAAACACTTTTTTTCCTTTCCATTTACTCTTTTCTTTCTCTTCTCCAAGCTTTCCTTAGTTTGCGATGTAAGATCATAGGACTTTTGTGGAGGTGACGTTAAATAATCTATGTATATGCCTAAAACAATATCCAGGACAAAGTAAGAACTCATGAACTGTAAGCACCTGCTGTTGCTGTGAATATTATTTAGCTGTCAAAGCCCTCAACGGGGCTGGTCTCCAATTTGGGGAAAGTTAGCGTTAACTCTTACAACTGAGCTGTTATATAAAACTTCTGCCCACAGAACTACTCTGGACCTACCCCTTGTTAGAAATCCATTTCTTAAATTAATTCCCTTTTCAGTTCTTCTGAGATAGCTGAGAATCTTTGGCACACCAGAACAAAGATAAACAAAGAGAGGTCTCTGTAGAGCATTTCACAACAAAGGAGATAAGAGCCTCCACCTCTCTTTTTCCCCTAGGAGACAGAGGTACTTTTCCACTTTTTTGTTTCCTTGTGAAATGGACTCATTCCCTCTTCTGAACTACTTAAACCAAGTTGGATGGGGGTGGCTTAAATTCATACACTCTATGACTTATTTAATGACCTTTTTACTCCTTGCAATGGTTTCATCTATACTCTAATACGTGGTCTCAGCTATTTTAAAAACGCATTATCACTTATTGAAAAGGAGAATATTTGATGCACAAACTTATTAAATTAGCTAGTAATCGGTTAGCACTAAGCACCAAGTTTTATTTAAATTCTGCTACTGTCCTTTCCTGAGGTATGGGATCACCCTAGCCATCAGTAAACTAGAATCAGTGCCCAATTCAGTATTAACTTATTTAAAATTAAGACCCTGAAACTTGCTGCTGCAGGCACTGCAAGCGAACACCAAACATAAGGGAATGACAGATGGTGGGATGAAGAAAATGATGCCTCAGTCTTCCTGGGCTTCACCTAAAAAGATCAAGCCAGCAAGTTCTAAGAACTCCCTGGGGATATGGAATGGATGGCTCAACACAACTCTTCCTGCTACTAGGGAGGGTCACTTCCTTGAGTGCCTTAATCTGCATGACATCATATCATGGGCATGTGCTGACAGATAAATACAAACACATGAATGGAAGTAAGCCAAATAAAATAATTTACACTATGCATAGGAAAAATAACTATTTAAATACCTCTTGCAAACAGCAAAAGTCTAAATATTCTATCATCTGTTTTACAAATAAAATCATCATTTTTTCCCAGTCAAATCATTTTCGCAACCTGATGTACTTGAGGTATTTTTAAAAAACAGGAATTGAATTCTGTTAAAAACAAAGTGCAAGGCTTTCATCCCCAGAACAGATTCAGTGCCCACTGGCAGGTGCAAGCTGCAGGTGCTGTCTAGGTAAATATACTTTCAAAAGGGACTATTTACTTCAACACATGAGAAAACTAAGAATCAGCCTAACATAATCAGTTCAATAGATCGAAGAGATATACCTGCAGGTTTTCAATTTCTTCTTTGTGCTCCCTCTTCAAGTGTAAAATAGCAGCTTGATATTCTGTAAGATCACAAAAGAAGCCAATTACAAAGAAGCACAAAATTATATGCAAAATTCAAAGTGAGTATCTTCAAGATTCTAGAGGTGGTTGTACAAGTAAACTGAGTAAATAAATGCTACAGTTTGACATTAACTTAACAAGAGATGTTGAAAATTGGGACGAGATAGGACAAGTAGCTCAGGATAGAGGGAAGATTTCCCTCCATTTAGCAAACCTTGAATTATAAGAACTCTCCAATTAGGCAGGTAGGATAAGGTTAAAAATGATGAGTATTCCAGATAAAGACTGGGTCAGGTATTTGTCTTTAAGGAGGAGTTAGAAGTTAAGGCCCCACACAGAACAAATACAGACGTGTTAACAGCGGACACATAGGAAATAAAAGAAAGCTTTCTATATGAGATCAGAGAATTCTATTTTTAACACTGTCCCCCCCTCCTCAAAAAAAAGTCTCCATTTGAATGTGAGGCTACTCAAACACCCAGGGCTGATTTTAATCTTTAGATCACTTCAGAAAGTCAAGACAATTTGTTACTGGATCAGAGAATCTAGGGTGAGTAGAGACTGAAAGGAAGACAAAAATAAATTTCTGGTCCAATTTTAGTCTGAGTCTAATAATGTTTATTCCAACAATAAATCCCAAGTGTACACAGGAACTCCAGTCAACCACTAAAACTATGACCTCTTTGGTTAAGCATGAAGCAGTTACAGCTTTATTTCCATCAGGATGGCTAAGGATATGGGGGAATCACAGAACTACGTAGGCTGCAGAGAACCACAGCACAAAATGCTATAAGAAAATGTTTTTGTGGGATAAGCCAATATTTTACAAATATTATAAAATGTGTTTGGGTTGTTAAAAAATGTCAGTTATATGCCATTTTAAAATGTTTGAAAAGATAGGTGATTTCTTCAAGTGGGTTTCAGGTATAAAAGTTTAGGTTTCAATTCAAAAGCGGGTGAGGGACATCTTTGGTAAAGCCAGAACAGGAGAGGAGTGTTGCTGTTGATAATTATGATTAGCCACACTGCTGCTCTTACGGGGAATGTGGTCCACTGAGCTGTGACTCCATCAGCAAGTGCTGTGAGTTTTACGTCCAAACCATACCTTGAATCAAATCACTTCTCACCATCCCACAACCACCACTATGGTCCCAGCCACCACCATCCTTTCCCTGAACCACTGCAATAATCTGAAAAAGTTACCTGATTTTACTAGTACCACCACCAAAAACCATTCTCCTCACAGTGGCTTGAACGCCCTACTAAAGGCTTGAACAGACCATGTCTCACCCCTGGCTTTCCATGGTACTTAAGAGTGAAATCCAAACTCCCTGCTGCAGCCCCGAAGACCCTTTCTAACCTGGCTCCTCTGTACCTTTCTCAGTCTTCCCCTTGCTCGTTGTGCTCCAGGCACACTGGCTTTCTTGCTATTCCTTGAATTTGTCATGTTCTTTCTTACCTCAAAAACTTTACTAATTTTGGAGACAATAATAATGAAGTGTATTTATTGAGCATTCACTATATACCAGGTATTATCTAAGTACCTCATATGTGTTAACTCACTTTGTCCCTAAATAACCCCATGATGTAGGTACATTTTTGTCATTAAAGATAAGAAAATAATACAAAACTGAGTAATTTGCAGAGGTAGAAAACATACATAATTAGCGGGTAAATGTGGTATATCCATAGAATGGAATACTACTCAGCAATAATAAGGAATGAACTATTGATACATACATTGATATAGACAAATCTCAAAAACATTATGCAGAGTGAAAGAAATCAGCCTCAGAATGCTAACTATGTTTAATCCCATTTATATAACATTCTGGAAAAGCCAAAACCAGATCAGATCAGTATTGGCTAAAGGTTAGAGATGAGACAAGGTTTGAGTACAAAAGGATAGCACATAAAGGAATTTTTGGGGTGATGTAACTATTTTCTATCCTGATTATGGTGGTGGTTATGTGACTTATGTAACATGGGTTAATACTAATAGAACTGTACAACAAAAAGAAAAAAAGTTAATTCTATAGGATATTAAGCCTAAAATTCTACATCAAATATTATACTTTTACATGTTTTCCCTAAGAGATTCAGCTTAACACAAGAATTTCTGTTACTACCACTCCTATTCATCATTTTCCTGAGGGTATTAGCAGATACGGTAGGACAAGAAAAAAAGAAAAAAAAACATGCTCATGCATACATCACTCACACCACATAACTAAAGGGGGGAAAAAAGCTATTATTCACTGTGACTGTATATTTAGAAAAATTCAAAAGATTATGCAGATAAAAATGTTAGAATTACTATGTAAGTATAGTAGGGTTGCTGGATATAAAATTAGTATACAAAAGTCATGATACCAGCAACAATTTAAAAAAGAAAACTTAAGATAATATTTATGGTACCCCTAAAAGTACAAAGTATTTAGAAAGAACCTTAACAAAAAATATTTAAGATCTCATGAGAAACTAGAAACACTATATTAAAATATATTATAAGGAAAGACACAGACAGATAGTGAGCAAGCCATGTTTTTGGTAAGACAATATTTTAAAGATGGTAATTTTCCCAAATCAATCTACAGATTAAATGCAATACCATTCAACATTTCTAAGGGTTTTTTGTTTGTTTAAAATTAAGAAGCACAGAAGTGCAAAAGCCGATAAGAGCTAAGAAACTCTTGAAAAAATAGATAAAAAGACAATTTGCCTTACACCTAACAAGAATCATTTTTAATTACCACAACATAATTAATGCGGTGTGGTACTGATGTGGGGATAACAAATAGGCTAATAGGACAGCCTAGAGAGAAGAAGAGTGGGAAGCCTTTATTTCCACTAAGAATGGTCTTTTCAGTAACAATCAGTTGGGAAAAGTAGATATTTATATGGAGAAACATGAATCTGGACTGACTATACCATATAATAACCTATACTAAATTAATTAAGAGCTAAAGTGTAAAAAACAAAATATTTTACAAAAGAATATAGCATAATTTTTTTAAACCTCAAGATAGGAAAGGACAAATATTTTATAAGAGAATATGGCACAAATATTTTATAAGAGAATATAGCATAATTGTTTTAAACCTCAGGATAGGAAAGGACTTAAGATTTAAACCGTACTGTATATAAATAAAAAAGACAAATTTTACTACATTAAAATTAAGAACTACTTTTCATCAAAATACATCATAAAAAGAGGGAAAAGACAAGTCAGAGTGGGAGAATATACCTGAAACAAATAATCAAAGATTTAGCATAAATATATATATATTAATCATTCCTAAGAAATTATAGAAAATAAAAAAGAGGCAAAAAGTATCACTAGGCACTCTATAAAGAGGATGTACAAAGTAACAGATAGATACATTAAAAAGTGATCATTCTCTTTAGTAATCAGGAATATTTAAAGTCTGACAAAACAGCAAAACAGCGTTGGTGAAAATGTGGAGCAATGGAAACTCTCATACATGAGTGGTAGGCATGCAAACTGGTACAATCATTATGGAAAATACTTGGCATTTTCTAATAAAGTTAAAGATACTCATACTAGCTACCAATAATCCTAATCCCAGGTATACATAAATGAAAAAACTATAAAAGAAAAGCAAATAATATTAACAAAAATCGGGATAATAAGTGGCACCCAAGAGAAGAGGAATTGAGTTGGGTTATAAATGAGTAAGGTGGTGTCACATGGAAGTTTGATGAAACCTCTGTGTTTCCTGCCATTTCCTTCATGTATACCTAATGTTACAATATAAGAAAAAAAGACTGCTCTAGTTACATTAGTTTTCTCATACATCAAACACAAAATATTGTATAGGCACAAGAGAGCCTCTAGATTCATGAAATAAGAATTTACTAAGTCCTAACCCATGTGAAGAGTGATAGCTAAACCTTAATCAATTCTCAACTTCTACAAAGTAGGCAAAGGGAGGTTAGCTAAACCCACACTTCTTGCAAAACCAACGTCCTTTGGGAATAACATATACATTCTAAATAGAACTTAAACAGACTATATTTTGAAATGATTAATTTTGTGTAAATTGTACCTGTAGGGGTGTGACAGACATAGTTATGACTAATTAACAGATTGATAAAGGAGATCATTGCAAAGCTAACAACATCCAGTAAATCTTGTTTTATCTCCTCCCTAAACAAATAATTTTACCAGTGGTCCCAGTGTAACAGCTGGCAAGACAACACTATCATTCCTGACAAGAATGACGAAATAAAATCTCTGGGCAGAGTGTAAAAGGAGGAAGTTAATGCTCTCACTAGTGGAATACTTGATTTGAGGGTTCACAAGAGAATGCTGAGGATACAAAGGTTTCAGAATAATGAGTCAGAGTTAGATTAGGGGTTTCCAGATGTCTTCTAATGGGAGTCACCTCCCCTATGTTTTTGGGGTTTGCAAATGCCTTGCACTAGACCAAGGCAAATTCTCTCCCATCTCTTGGGGGTAAGGATTGTGAAGCAGAGATCTCAATTCAAGACTAAGGATGTTTTTGTTTGTTAAAAAGAGAAGTTGTCCTTGGTATTTAGTAGCTCTGGGACTCTATACGTGTGTGAAAATAAGGAATGGAGATTTCGAACATTAGGGCTTGAAAAGAGCAGATCTCTTTGAAGCCACCTTAGCCCCAATGGAAATTAACAAATGAATTCAAATAATCTAGCACCTCACCCCCCCAACAACAAAAAAAGCCTGAAGGATGTCTTTTAGGAAAATAATACATTACACAGAAAGACAGAAAAAGGAAAAAGGACCCTGACTGGCAGGATTCAACACTTGGGGGGAAAATTTGTAGTAAACTTCCCTCCATAAAAATAAAGCTCTTTGAAGTACTTAGTCTAATTGATAAGGACCCTTTTTGTTTCATGTACTCTCCTTTTTGATCAGCTCACAACAATAAAGCAGCCTTTCTGTCAGGTACAATTACAGAGCAGTGTCTTCCAATGCACCAAAAGCAGAAAGAAAAAT